ACCCATCATGGCTTTCCATGTAGACTAGCTTTCTAAAATTAAACCAGTGAATGATCTCATTAATCTCTACCTTTTGGTAATAAAAGCACACCTATTTCTAACTTTTCAAGTTTGCTGAATCCACTAATGACAAACTGTGTGTATATATTTTAACAAACACCTAAGGCCATGTTTAGGACAAATGATCAGCACATTTGTACTTTGTCTTTTACAGATTCTGGCAAGTAAAATACCTATTTCTCTTTATTCTTCATTAGAAGGGTATGGTTTTCTGAACATTCAAGCCACATTTTCTACAGTGCCTCAGCAAATAAAAGCCCAAATGTTTGGGTATGCTTTTACAACTCAGGGGCAGATTTCCATATTATCAATATGATACTGAGACATCTCAACTTGATAAAGATAAAGGAATCAGCCCCACCTGGAAAATGCAATTATGGCTTGGCTCGTTGTGCTGTGCCAAGCTTAAATTCATCCAGCTTCTGTTGGGCAGTACTCTGAGAGTAAAGTACCCCCAAAACCAAATGCAAATGTGAAGGCTATAGATTTGGTAAGTAAAATACATCGGAGACCCATTTAGGGAATAGTGATTATTTTGTGATCTCGGATTACTGCCATTAGTTTAAACATCTCCTTGAATGCAGCCATTATGAGAGTGGTTTAGCAGAGCCCTATCGATAGAGGGATGTGTTTCATGTTTACTTCCTTTTACTGTCTGCCCTCTGGTGGAAGTGCTGTCCCTTGGGATTTGATCAAAGGACATTCAGCAAAAGTTGATGCAAAAAGCCTGGCTAATTGACAACCTGAAAAATGTACCTCAGGATAACAAAATGAATGAATCAATGTGGTTGTTAATTATAGCCATGAAGATTTCTCGGGTGGATATGAAATCTCTGTTTATTATCGTCTCTGTTATATGCCGCTCCCATCCGTGATCTTTTAGAATATTGAAACTATAAATATAGAAAACAGGAAGTCAATCTCTGATTATACAAAACCAAGGTGAGACTATGTTTGTTTTGATTTGATTTCTATTTATCAAGATAAAGCTATTGAGGATAAGAGTTGAGGACAAAGAGGAGGAGGAAGGCAGAGCAAATTTCATCAATTTCTTTGTATTTCAGAAATTATTAGATCACAGATGTGAATCTGCTAAAGATTTTCATTGTTATTTTGCTTTTGTAATTTCACAAGGGAATTCCCTTTTCTGATAGTAATTTGGCCTCTTTTCAGTTCATCTCCTTTTCTTATTGGAGAAGGACATTGAAATGTGAGTTTACTGCACAATTTAATATCAATAGAAGTGTGCTTAGGAAGAAAAGGTTTATATGCAAAGAAATTAATTTGAAATATTAAGCAGACTCAGAGTTCTTTTGTGCAGAAGACCGGCAAAGCTTATAACAGCAAAGCTAAAATTCTGATCCCCACCTTTAGATATTCAAACAGCTATTCAAATAGGCTTCTGAATTTTTTCAATTGATGCAGATAGCTTCATTATGATTTTATCATTAAAAATTCAATTTTAGGTCCTTAAAGTAAATGATCGGAAAACAGAATCTTCCTGTGACTCATTATAAAATGAGTTAGGAAGAGAAGGTATGGGGGAAATGCAAATATTCTTTTTTGTGGAATAAATATGTTTTGATAGGGCAATATTTACTTATATAAAATGATAGTTTTAAATAATTCAATGGGCTGTATTTCAGCTGTTTAAAGGGAGAGGAAGTTAGCAGTAGGAAACATATTCTTCAGTTTTAAGTTGGTGAGTTATTTTGAGAGTTACACTATCCTGATTAACAGATGTGAATTGGGTCTTTTCTCTGTGATCTTGATAGCATGATTTAGTTAGGATTCTGTTTTATTTGTAATTGTTTACATATTTTCGATAGAAAAGTATACAGCCAATATTTGAGATTCATTAGCTACTCAGGTTTGGTATCATCCAAACCTAAATCATGTTGTCTCCAAACAAACACGATATAACTAAGCTACATCAAATGACGAAGAAACAAAGCCAGTCTATTGTTGTTGTCCTCTCATTTATCTGTTCCTTGCTTTGGTTTTCTATGATTTTCTCTATAGGAAATCTAGGACCTGTGAAGCTACAGGAATAATAAGAGAACAGATAGGGACCTGGGGGCAGAGAGGTGAGGTTGGGGGAAATCGAGAGTCAACAAGTTCACGGCAGAAGAAAATATTCTGAAATCGATTGTGGTGCTGATTGCAAAACTCTTCATAAGATGATAGCGCTATTAAATTGTATGATAGGTGGGTTATATGGCAATAAAACAATTAAAAACCAAAGCCAAACCCACTGCCATCGAAGTGATTCATAATCAGTCCCATCGGACAGAGTAGAACTGCCCCCATAGGGTTTCTCAGACTAACCACATCTTTCTCGGGTGGCAAGTGGGCCAGAACTACTGACCTTTGGACTAGCAACTAAATGCTTTAACGGTTACGCCACCATGGCTCCTTACCACAACCAAACCCATGGTCACAGAATCAATACCTATACTATAGAGTCTAAATAGTCAAATAGTTTCTGAGCTTGAAAAAAGGCAATCGCTTACATCTCGCTCAAAATTGGCAGCTTTGAAATCCATTTTAATTTAAGAACATTGAATCAGAAAAATAATTTCATGTAGAGCTGATGTCCACAGGAAAACAAAAGGGGTTGGATGATACCATACAGCCAACCGCCCACAATGATGAAAAGCGAGGCCTTCCAGTATTTCCAAACTAACCAAGAAATAACTTGTAGAAATGAAAGGTCCGACAAGTGGAACAGGTAAAACATAATAAACTCGCTAACCATGTGAGAGAAGGCAAAGTAATAGAGTAGAATCAGACCTGTGTAGTGAATCAAGTTTGGTGTATTTCTAGCAAACCTTAGAGCTGGGGTCACTATTTCCTGTTGCTTCACAGGCAATAGAAACTTTTCATGTAGGCAGCAGCATTAAGACCTGGCCCCAGAAACCATGGGTATGCTTCATGCTTATTGTTTTGGGGGGCAATGTAAAAGGCCAGAGAACTATTCCCTGTTTAATGGGAAATAGGGCTTGAGAGCTATCTCTGCATGTAAACCACATAAGAACCAATCAGATCCCCAGGGCAAAACACCTTCTCTCTAGGCAGCAACTGGAAGATCTACTTCCTTCTTGCATACATAATGCTTCTGCAACCATCCTGTTTATTCAAATCACTTAATAGGAACACTTTATAGGCAGCTATTTTGAAAGAGGAAAGGCTTATTGTTCTAATGTGATGAACTGAATCACCTTAGGCAGAGGGGGTCAAATCCTCACCCCACTGCTCTGCCCCAGAAGTCCCCTACAGAACATAGCACATTGTTGTAACATTGTTTTGCCACCCCCAACTAGATGTAATTCTATTATTTCAGAAATGTTGGCATTGGATTTAGACCTTCAAGTTGGGCTCCAATGGTTCGCAAGTCGTTGGAAACCCCCAGGCGCTCTGCTGAATAAAGATGACCTGTTCTGTCCCCTTCTAGAGCTGGTCTTGGAAACTCACTGGGGCAGTTCCCCCTTGCCCTAGAGGGTCACTACGAGCCAAAACTACTTTGGTTTTTTCCTCATTTGGCTTTTAAATCAGGAGCCTCAGTGGCCCAGTAGGTTAGCCATTGCTCTGTTAAAGTGGTTTGAGCTCTCCAGCCCCTTCACAGGAGAAAGAGGAAGTAGCCTGCTTCCCTAAAGTTCACACACTGAGATTATTAACTGATAACCTGAACAAATCTGATTAACACAGATTTCTTTTCATTCCATGCGTGTGGATTCCCGAAAGAATGCATCACACTCTAGAAAGGAACATCCCTGCTTATCATGGATCTGTTCCTATAATACTAAGGACAGGAACCTATAGAACTTCCTGGATCCAAAGCCACTTGCAAGTCACTAAGGAGTCTGGCTTCAATCGTTGTCAATTATTTTGGAATAAGAAATTGGGAGTTTTTTGCTTTTGTTTGTTTTGTATATTCTATACACACACCCCAAAAGCTCAAATGTCTTTGAAATTGGCCAAAAATAGCCAAAGACAACGGATTGTCTCTTATTAAAAAAGAGGAAAAATAAAATAATGAAAAGAATCAACTAGGAAATTCTTTTTATTATGTTCAGCCTTTGCTAAAATAAGATCCTAACACAACTCCAGTTTTAATTCCATTAAATATACACAGAAATTCAATGATATCTGTTCTCTATTTTATATCTATATAAAATTCCTACTAGAGATCATAGCATGTATAGCTTGCTATAAAGAAAGACCATAAAACATCACAATGTATCGGAGTCCAAAAAAGGGAACACACTGAAGCTTCTAATCGCCAAAGTCCTATCAACTTCAGCACAGTCGCTACATGTTGAAGCATCACAGCTGTTGACATGCGTGGTTCAGTACTAATTTTGGTTCACTTTATTTTATGGATTCATAAGTTCTCTAGACACACAATGAACCAAATTAGTATAAATAGCATACCATGTGAACTGCTGTTGAAATCCCATGGAGAACTGTGTTCTCGCTTTGTTGTGTTTTTGCCTTATCTGTCGCTTTGGCTCCCAACAATCCAGGAGGCTTCAAAGTTGTTGACCAATCATTATGGTTCCGCTTTGGGCTCCTACTTTTTTATCTCATTTAATATCAACCTCTTCATGTTCCCCACCTGCTACCCCTTTTTATTTCTGGTGGTTTAACTGGAAATCCACCTGCCCCAATTTAGCTCCCACATGATAGATTTTTCTTTTAGTGATTAGGGACTGACTACAAATTTCTGTGGGAATCTTATCACTCATTCCATGGGATTCGATGCTTCTGCTTATATATTATATTTATATATGTGTGGTTATACATATATAGATATAGGATATACACACATTAACACACTATAGTACATAGAAAACATGTATATATTCACATATATGTATTTTTTTTTTTTTTGGCAAATGATAAAAGAAAGCAAGCAAAACAAGACTGACCTGACCTACCTGTACTCGGTTCACATTCAACGAAGTCTTCATCATCGCTAGAACATTCAGCTGATGACACAAGGTCATCTGATGTTGGCTGTGCATGTCCAAGGAAAAGAAGAGGGGAGGGGGAGAGAGAGAGGGAGAGAGATCAGTGAATAAAGGCAGCAGAGACTGATCACTGTGTTCTGCCTGTTATGATTATTACTGATTCTCTTTTTCTAATGACGGCAGGCTGTAGGGCGGAGTATTTTTAACTCCTGGGGAGTTGGGAAAGGCTTTGGGTGCAGATAGCCTGTGGGCAGAAGGGCACCTGCCCCAGCTGGTTCCAGGTATTTCAAGACTATCGTGTTCCTATAAATCATAATGGGCAGGGTGCTTCTATCCCCACTTGAATTTCACATTTTAAAACCAAAAGGGCAAGAGCAAGGCTATTGAGAATGGCCAGAAGAGCAGCTAGTTGCTGCAGCTTTGAGAGGGCTTCCATGTGGATGGTGTGTGGGCTCAAGTGCATGGTTTGGTGATTGTGAGTCTATCAGCTGGCATAATTAATGAACACTGCGGAAGGCAGTCTGTTCAGGAACAGCATAATGGCTTCCCTCGCTAGCAGCAATTTCTTCGTGTAATTGCTGCAATTAGCTGAATTAGTAATGTGGACCAGCAGAGAGACACTGGGGCCGACTCTGGACACGGGTGAGGCTGTTGCTAGAGTGAGCAGAGAGGTAGTTTGCTTTTGTGTTTTCACTGTCATGGTAATAGTTCAACTTGAGTGAATGCTTTCCTTTTAACTGTCTCTGCAGACATGCCCCAAGGTCAGGCATCTACTGCCAGGTATATAGGTGACAGTGGTTATTGACAGGGAGAAGGGCCCTTGCTCCATGGCTGGTGAGAAGACTATTTTCTGTACCAGACACCAGTTATATCCCCAATCCATACTACGAAAAGTGGGTGATACTACGAAAAGATGAGTAAATATACAGATGGCACGCAAAACCCAAATCCATCGCCTACTAGGAGGCCTGGTGACACCATGATTCAGCACCAGGCTACAATAATGAGAAAGAACCCAGTGCTCTGTTCCCATAAAGATTATAGCTTTAAGAACCTCATGGGGCTGCTCTGAGTCAAGGTCAACTTGTCAACGGGGCAGCATCTAACAGCAACATGCCTATAAGGTGTCCACAATACAGGTGCTTCTCACCACTGACTCGGACTCCACATCCAAATGGAAGATGAAATTACTAAATGGTTTCCTTGCCTAGTGAGCAGTTACCATTAGCCAAATTTTATGCTAGGTCTGTACCTAAACTTAGTTATAATTATTATTATTAGAAACATCCTCATCATCACCCTTTAGGCATGGATTATTATCATTTCAATGAGAAGTGAGGTACAAAGCACGTAAGCGACTTTCTGGAGGACACACAGCTAGTCAGTAAGATAGAAAGGATTCCAGAAGATCTGAAGACCAGTCTATGTTTGTGGCCTCCTAATTGACTTGGATAGACCTTCTTTTACACGAGAACTCTATGCTTAGTGTTTTCACACCACATCTTCTAAGACCGAAATGCTAGGTGTCCAGTTCCTGGGTCCAGTGAAGGACAGCAGGAAAGCCCAGGAGGTCACTGATCTCACTTCGTTGACACTGGCACAGAGGGGTCTTCAACCACCGTATTGATCTTCTACGTCTAACAGGGAGACACTGAATCCCCTCTTCCTCCTTCTAGTTAGTAGAAGAAGGACGTTTTCAGCATACTTTTTAGAATCTTAGACGCCATTGTATGTTTCATTTCCAGAAAGGAAGCTGGATGTCGCATCCCAAAGCACTGTGATTGGTATTAGGGGACAGGTGAGCATGCCTCCTTGGTATTTCCTGCTGTGTCTGATGCAGGTTCAATTCCAGCTACTCAGTAAAGGAGCTGAGAACCAGGGATGAAAGAAATTATAAGGGGAAAACACTAATCTGAAGCCCCGTTGTCATTATGGGCAATGTCACCGCAAGGTAGTAAATCCGGTTTTGCTGATGGTGGGTGATCTTCGAAATTATAATGACTGGTGGCCCTCCAAAAGATGAGGTGACCTAAATGATGTATGCATATACCTGTGATACTAAAATTTCATGGGGGAGAAATGTCCAAAAAATCCTTGTATTCACCAGTTGACCTTGAAACAACATTGACTCCCGAGGACACCATTTGTGGCAGGGTAGAACTGTGCTCCAAAGATCTGAAGGGGCAGGGTGTTTTCTCCCCCAGGCAGAACCTCCAGTCTTTCTTCTGAGACCGCCCCCCCACCCCCTTGAGTAGATTCAAACAACCCATGTTTCAGTTAGCAGCTGAGCACAGTCGCCCACCCTGGGACTCCAACAAACTCCTCAGGAAGGGTCATCCTGAGAAACACTTAGGAATTTGTTCTAAATTGGACTCAGTCAGGAGTGGATGCTTGGTGATGTGGCTCTAAGGGTATTGCCGCGTGAACCATGTGGGGAATAACTAGCGGTGGCCCTTAGTGGTGAGTGGAATCTAGTGAGTTAATGAAAAGCTTATGAGCTTGTCTCCAGAATCAAAGGCCAGATGATACAGTTTAAAAAGACCACGAAGGAACAACAACAACACACAAGCCAATGCAACAAAAACAAAAACTCATTGCTGTCAAGTCGATTCTAACTTGAAAGAACTGGCCAATGGGATTCCCAAAGCTGTAACCTGTACAGAATAGACCGTGACATCTTTCTCCCACTGAGTGGCTGGGGGCTTGAATGACCGGCTTAGCAGCCTCTCACTTAGCTGCATGACCACCAGGGGTTTGTGGTCATGGAGTAAATGTTGAAAATAGGATGCAACTCTCCACTGGACACCAAGAACACACTAGTATAATTAGTAACGCAATGTGTATTTTAGCTCTAAAACAGATACCTTCTTTTTTATGGCACAAAAGAAATGACAGGGTAAATTGTAGTTTAGGATTTGTTTTTTTGTTTTGTTTCATTTCCAGGGAAAGTACTACTAGTTTTGAGGTCAAAAGGCTATTCACTGGTTTCCTCTCACCTTCATTCTGTCTCCTCTAATACGACATGCTTCTCTGCCATGCAGTTTAGCTGATACCTCCTGATTTTACCCTCTGTCCTTACCCCACCCCCACCCCTGCCTGCCCCATCCACTTCCATCCTAATAGTGGGTCACTACGATGATGTTGCTCTTCCGTTCTCTGGCTCCCTTCCTCCATGTATAAGGTCCCTACGCTACACTTGTTAGACATTTGGCTTCTTGGGTCTTCTATACAAAAGTTCTCCTTAGGCAGTGGGTGCTCATTTTGCCAGTAGCTCCTATAGATGGTGGCTAGATGGAAAGCAGGCTGGGTGGGAGTAGTTTAGCTGAGTGTGGGAAGCATAAGAGGAGGTCTTCCTCTGGGGAGAGTAGAGCTTCAAACTCCACCTCCTTCTTATATACTCGGGTCACTGGATGGAGACTTACTTAGTTTGGGGAAGCTTCCATCTTTTTAGCTCCAAATGGGGAATCCTTGGATCTTTGCCATTGGCTGGTTATGTGATTTAAGTCTGATGCTGAATGTGAAACTTTGTACCTGCCACATGGTAACTGCTTAATAAACACCAGCTTCAACATGCACATAAATGAACAAGGACAGCCACTTTCGCCTGATAAACTGAAATAAAACTCACTGCCATCTAGTAGATTCCAAAGGATCACTCCTAGTGACCCTTTGGGACAGTGTAGAATTGCCCTCGTGGGTTTCCAAGACTATAAATCTTTAAGGAAGGAGGGAGCCACCTCTTTCTCCAGTTTGCCTGATAATAACTCCAACTTTAGATTTGTTTGCTATCTGTCTATGTAACCTCTCTTTAATGAAACATCCCCTCCAGCATTGCTCTTCATTGCTCACAGTTCACCACCTCCATTTCTTTGGTACAAACATCATCTCTAGTCACAACTGCCTTGAAAAATTCTATAAGAATAGTATATTCGGGGAGATGCCAACAGAAAGTGCTCGGTTTTTCAAAGACACCTGAGCTCCTCTTCTTCTGGGTCCTATATCTCCACCTCACCATAAAGAGACAGAGGCCAATGAAAGTCCCAAAGCAATGAATAGTACGCCAACTCCCTCACTGCCCGGAACAGTAGCTGGTTGTCCTAGAAAACCAAGCATTGACATTGGCCACGTTTGCCATCGAAGAAAACCGCAGAGGATGGGGAGGATTTGCTCTGCTAGGGCACCATGCCTTCATTGGCCCAAATGAAACAGAATTAAGAAAAGTACAAATAGGGTGCTTTTGCTTCCGTTTCTGTTTTTCTACTTCCCTCCCTGCCATGTGAATAAACCAAAATTTTTGGATGATACCAGTTTAGAAGCATAACCTAAAATAATTACAATGGGTTACAATGTTATTCTCAGATCACCCAGGGCCTTCATTATGCAGCTCGCTTTGTTTTCTTCCCGTCAGCAACCTCCTCCAGGATCAGACATTGAACTTCCAGAGCAAAAGCATAGTTCTTTTACTCGCTGGAGTTTCTCACGGCTTGTGGATTATGTTTCACTCTTACAGATAGGCACACAATTGGAAGGGAAATTTTAAGAGTATAATGGGACCATCAGTTTTTAATCTGCTAATAAAATGCAGCTGACCTCAGCCTCTGTGTGTGTTTTGCCAAAAAATCATACCCATTGTTCACAACTACTCATAATACCTTAGAAAGAAGAACATTTAATGCTCTTGTGAATAAATGAATATCACACCTATCTAGAACCTTGCCTACTAATAACGTTTGCTCTTACTAAACACTTTCTATTTCAAGTTTTTATTAACAATTGTATATAATTCGATTTCACGCTTTGTGGTAAGCAGTTAACACCCGTTAACCCTTTTAATACAATCATCAAAAATATAAACATTTGTAGGAGCACCTGCTATTTTCACCTGCCTCACAATGCATGCTTCTTGTGATGATCATAGGGCCTCAGAAATCCCTTCTCTTAATGGTTTCGTTGGGATGCTAATCAAGGTATCCTCAATGTCAGTTCTTTCCTATTTTTTCTCACAGTGATTATCTAAAGTTCTCATAATTCCCAATGACTGGGGTA